AAAAAATAGAAGCGATATATGGAAAAATTATGGCTGGCAATGGATACTTCCTCATTGTGTTGTCATGAAGGAAAGAGCAGTCTATACGGCCACTCTCACCTGTTGAAAATTGAAAAAGAAATAACAGTGTGTCGCTCAACCACCAGTTGAAATCAAATGGAATTGAGTTATTCTGAAGCATGGAAAGAAGTGAGAAAAGAGGGTAGCTGTTCACTATGAAAATAGTCGAAAAAATAGAAGCGATATATGGAAAAATTATGGCTGGCAATGGATACTTCCTCATTGTGTTGTCATGAAGGAAAGAGCAGTCTATACGGCCACTCTCACCTGTTGAAAATTGAAAAAGAAATAACAGTGTGTCGCTCAACCACCAGTTGAAATCAAATGGAATTGAGTTATTCTGAAGCATGGAAAGAAGTGAGAAAAGAGGGTAGCTGTTCACTATGAAAATAGTCGTGAGTCCATGGCAGCATATTTTCCATTGCATGCTTATTTTTTTATTTTTTTGCACTTCCCCAACATTTACTTCTTGAGAGCCCCAACGCCTTTGCCTCTTGCTCTGCTTCTTCACACTAGAACATTCCTCTAAGTTTCTTCCAATTTTTTGTTTTTTGAAGTTCACAGGGCTTGTAAAGGGTTTCTTTTTCTGTATCCAAGCCTTTTTACCGGTAATTTATGTAAATATATACAAAATTATTAATCATATAACATTATTTAAGCATGCATCCTATTTTTGGGGATTCCAACCACTCTCGTGCTTAGTATCTTCTTTTGTTGGGAAATAGCCTTGTATTTTAGGAAATCCCAGTTAGACTTGAATTGGAGATTGAATTTGATTGGAAAGAATCCATAACAATTGGAGTTGAATTCTAATTGAAAGAGTATAGTATTGATAATCCAAGTCAAAGGAGTCCTACATGAATTCAGGAGAGGGGAAAAGCTTTTTAAATACCTCTTGAGAGGTTCATTGTAAACCAAGTCATAGGAAAGCCAAGGAGAGTTACATATTGTATAGTGAGGTAAGAGGGAACTAAGGAGAGAAAATTAGAATTTTGAGAAATCTTCTAGTGAGATTGAGAGAGAGGGTTTCTTAATTCTTATGATCTCTACCCATGGATGTAGGCGATTATCAAACCACGTAAATCCTCATGATTTTGTTTTTATGTTTTCTTTTTTGTGGATTACTGCTTTCTCTTTGTTCAAACAAGTTGTTTGCTCAGAGTTTCCACATCGCTAGGTGTTTGATTGGTTGACAAAGGAGATCTAGTCTAGTGTCTCGCTAACGCTTCCGCATTGATTGCCAATTGGTGGCCGACAATCGGTATCTGGTTGTGGCAGGTGTTGTGCAAACATCTTTTGCGACTCTGTGATCTCCACCGTTTGAAGCATTGAGTTAGGCATTGCTTTGTAATTCGTGACTAATTTAACATCTTGTCAAACGGTACTAATTTTCGCTACTATATCAAATAATCGTGTGTTCTTTTATTAGTTTATCACAATTAATTTTGGAACATAGGGAGTATTGTTTCCTAAATGCTTATATGGGAATTCGATATTAGTACATGAGATTTTGGTCAGATCTAATTTTACTTTGCTTCAAGGCAGAGTTAATGGACAAAGAAACTAATCTTCTACCCGAGCCACGGACCTACCAAGGCAATTATGGCCATTCAAGAATTAAGATGAATGGAGGAAACAAAAAATTGGAAACCTCAATCTTTTGTGTACTCTGTTTTGCTAGTATATAATATACCCATGCAGTTGGGCAATGACTAGTTTATCATAACAAAGGCGATAACATTGCTCGTGTGACGTAGGATCTGTCGGATACTAGTACCACTAGTTAAGAGATGTTAATATGCTGACATGCATACGGCAGAAGCACATATTAAATGGATCAGTGAGATCCCAAAGGCATGGTAGCAACTTAAGAGCAGTGTTATTTGGCACAAAACATGGGAGCCAATTCTCCAAGTGTTCTAAAAATCCAATACGGAAAATATTAAAAGCATATATAACACGAATAATCTATGACCTATGTTCGGTGGAGCAAAGGTATCTTTACCACAATATGTGTACATATGACGAATACTAAGAGAGTGTTTCGCAACTCTACACCAACCTAAAACTTAAGTGTTGTGAGTTTTATCGAAGCGCAAGGCGCAATGCAGGGCGCAAAGGTCCCTTACGCACACTATGCGCAAGGCGCACAACGAGAGCGCGCCTCACTAAATTGAAGCACATAACTCAAAGTAATATTTTCCAACATAAGACAAAGAAGCATATAAACAACATGTTTATAAATTATCACATAAAAAGACTAAGAAATATAATTTCACCTACTAAATTACGAAAGAGTCTTAATTAGCATGCATATCATAGAGAAGTTCATAAGTTTCCACAACTCATAATGCAAGATAATATCCAACATGTGCAAAGTCTACGAAACAAAATAAGTAGTAAAATAACAGAGTGTCTAGTCATCCTCATCATCATCGTCATCCAACTGAAGTGAAATTTCCTCATCCTCAGTTTCCTCCTCTTCTTCATTAAACTTTTCTTCATCCTATTTTCTAATTAGAAAATCTTCATATTCAATGTCAAAACTGTGGAGTGTGAGCTGTGAAGTGTGAACAGCAAAAAAAATTAAAGAAAAAAAATAAAACAGAGAAAAACTGAAAAAAAAGAAAGAAGAAAAGGAGAAAAATTGAAAAGAAAACAAAAAGAAACCCGTTGAAAAAAAGAAGAAAGAACAAAAGGAGAAAACAAGAAAAAAGAAGAAAACAAGAAAAGAGAATAACTGGAAAAAAATAACTTGAATATTAGACGACGGAATAGGCGGCGAAATCGGCGGCGGCGGAATAGACGGCGGAATCGCGCGACGCGTCGACAAAGTCGGCGCGTCGGTCAGCGAGTTGGGGGTCAATGGAGTGAGAGGAATTTGAGGAGAGGAGACCCTAAAACATAAGGGTTTATTGAAAATCAAGACTTGAAACTCGCTTTCACCCAAAACCACTTCAACCCGCTTCAATCCAGGCCTTAAAACCAGGCGCGGTAAGGCGGTGC